CAGGGGCCCCTGGCACATTTTCCAGTGTTTTCCCTGGAAAGAAAACTCACCAGTCCAGGTTCCTGATGTCAGTTTGTAGGGCTCCCTTGGGACTCGCAGGGCAGCGCAAGTTTGGGGTGAGGGTATTTGAAGTCTCGGAGATATCCTTTGATGTTCTCATTTTTGCAGTCAGGAGCCCACCCTGTGTCAGGGGACCTGTGCGCAAATTTCAGCCTTTTTGCTGGGAAAGGAAACACAGCAGTCCAGGTTCCTGATGTCAGTTACTAGGGAACCATTGGGACTGTCAGGGCAGCGCAAGTTTGAGGTGGGGACAGCTTTGTTCTGGGATGCATCCTTGGATGTTTGTAGTTTTTGCATTGAGGTGCTAGCTCAGGGCCAGGGGCCCATGGCACATACTTTGGCCATTTTCCCTGGGAAAGAAAACTCACCAGTCCAGGTTCCTGATGTCAGTTTGTAGGTCTCCCTTGGCACTGTACGGGCAGCACAAGTTTGAGGTGGGGACAGCTTTGTTCTGGGATGCATCTTTTGATGATTGTATTTTTTGCATTCATGTGCCCACCCAGGGCCAGGGGCCCCTGGCATATTTTCCAGCCTTTTCCCTGAAAAGGAAACTCACCAGTCCAGGTTCCTGATGTCAGTTTGTAGGGCTCCCTTGAGACTCTCAGGGCAGCACAAATTTGACATGGGCGCAGATGAAGTCTCGGAGATATCCTTTGATGTTCTTATTTTGGCAGTCAGGTGCCCAGCCTGTGTCAGGGGACCTGTGCGCTAATTCCAGACTTTTCCCTGGGAAAGGAAACACAGCGGTCCAGGTTCCTGATGTCAGTTTCAAGGGAACCATTGGGATTGTCAGGGCAGCGCAAGTTTGTGGTGGGGACAGCTTTGTTCTGAGATGCATTCTTGGATGTTTGGAGTTTTTGGAGTGAGGCGCCGGCTCAGGGGCAGGGGCCCCTTGGCACATTTCCCAGCCTTTTCCCTGGAAAGAAAACTGACCAGTCCAGGTTCCTGATATCAGTTTGTAGGGCTCCCTTGGGACTCTCAGGGCAGCGCAAGTTTGAGGTGGGGGCAGATGAAGTCTCGGAGATATCCTTTGATGTTCTTATTTTGGCAGTCAGGTGCCCACCCTGTGTTAGGGGACCTGTGCACTAATTCCAGCCTTTTCCCTGGAATGGAAACACAGCAGTCCATGTTCCTGATGTCATTTTCTAGGGAAACATTGGGATTGTCAGGGCAGCGCAAGTTTGAGGTGGGGACAGCTTTGTTCTGGGATGCATCCTTCGATGTTTGTAGTTTTTGCATTCAGGTGCTAGCTCAGGGCCAGGGACCCCTGGGCACACACTTTGGCTATTTTCCCTGGGAAAGAAAACTCACCAGTCCAGGTTCCTGATGTCAGTTTGTAGGTCTCCCTTGGCACTGTACTGGCAGCACAAGTTTGAGGTGGGGACAGTTTTGTTCTGGGAGATAATCTTTGATGTTCCTATTTGTTGCAGTCAGCCTCCCACCCGGGGTCAGGGTGTCCTGTGCGCTAATTCCAGCCTTTTTGCCTCGGAAAGAAATCACACCAGTCCAGATTCCTGATGTCAGTTTGTAGGGCTCCCTTGGCACTCTACGGGTAACACAAGTTTGAGGTGGGGGCACATGAAGTCTTGGAGATATCCTTTGATGTTCTTATGAGATGCAGTCAGGTGCCCACCTGGGGTCAGGGGACCTGTGCACGAATTCCAGCCTTTTTCCCTGGGAAAGAAAACTCACCACTCCAGGATCCTGATGTCAGTTTGTAGGTCTCCCTTGGCACTGTACGGGCAGCACAAGTTTGAGGTGGGGATAACTTCGGTTTGGGGTCCATCCTTCGATATAAGGATTTTTTGCAGTCAGGGTCCAGAACAGGGCTGGGGGCCCCTGGGCACATACTTTGGCCATTTTCCCTGGAAAGAAAACTCAGCAGTCCGGATTCGTGATGTCAGTTTGTAGGTCTCCCTTGGCACTGTACGGGCAGCAGAAGTTTGAGGTGGGGACAGCTTTGTTCTGGGATGCATCCTTTGATGTTTGGAGTTTTTGCAATCAGCTGCCCATCCAGGGACAGGGGGTCCTGAGTGCTAATTCCAGTCTTTTTGCCTGGGAAAGAATTCACAC